CCCCGCCTCCCCGACCAGGGGCGGGCTGTGTCGTGACTGCGAAGCCGGTGTGAAGAAAACAAGCTGGAGCAGAAGTGACACAGCGCGTGCAGAGGGGGTCGGCTCTTCATCTCTTTTCTCCCCTCCTCAGGGTTTGCAGGGGGTGGAGAAAGGGATGGGAAGGGTCTGAACCAGCACACAGCAACTGTATTTAGACCATGGCAAACTGAGCTACTACTTACTTCTCTCTCCCTCCCTCCCGCCCGCCCGGGGCCTGGCCAGGAGTGGAAAGACCACAGGGCCGAGGGGGCCCAGCACGTACCTGAAAGAAACCTGGCGGGATGGGGCCTCCCGGCATCCCGTCGTTGGGGGGAATGTTGCCAAGCACGGGGCTCGGGGCGGCTGCTGCGCTCTGTGGAGACAAGGAGGTGGAGAGTTAGGAGGCTGTACCCACCGCAAGAGACCTGGAGCTCTGAGCCTTGTCCCACCGGGTTCTCCCGCTCTGCCCACGTCCTCCACAGACCCTCCTCAAATACCACCTTCCCAGGCACGTCTTACTGGGCAAGTGACGAACTCTCCGAGCCTCTGTTTCCTCATCTCTAAAATGGGAGAACAAGGTCTCCCGCTTCGCGCACGCACTGCAGAACAGAACGGTAGTGGGTGGCCAACATACAGCAGCCGTTGTGAATGGAGGGGTGCCCTGCCTCACCCACTCGGCGGCTTTATGAAGCTCCCACAGGGCGGCTGAGGTGCTTTACAAATGTTTGTGCCCTCTCCAAGAGGCTGCATGCTGTACAGAGTAGACCAGTAAAGATCCACAACTTAATGCATAAACACAAATCCCTGCTGGGAAATGTCCCTCGAAAGGTCGAAGGAGGGCAGGGGTGTTTTGGGCCTGGTCAGGGTCCTGGGTGCCACCGGAGAGGAGGTGGGTCCGCCCAATGCAGGGACTGGAGGCACTTTTCTTCTTAAATGCTGCTATTCGGGCATTTACCTGGTACATCTGCCTCAACAAATGCCTCCTGGGGGTGAACAGACGTCGTTCTCCCCAGCCTGGCCTCCTTCCAGACAATCTGTGTCCCACCTGCCACGTGGTCAGCATGTCTGAGCCTGGGCCCGCACGCGCCCAGGGCAAGTCACGGGCCTAGCACCCCACCTGGGCTGGTGCCCTGCATACTCCCCCACCGGCCCCCGCCCTGACCGACTCTAAACCTCCCAGGCACTTCCCCCCACCCCCGCAGGATGACCACCTCCTACCTCAGTGTTGCCACACCCCACCCTCCCCGCCCGGGACTGAGAATTTGAGACTGAATCACTGACTGTCTCCCAGAGGTCTGACTGGTCCTCTGGGACAAGAGTGAGCCCCTGGGGTCAGGAAACGGACCACCTCTTTCTCTCCTACAAATGCAGAGTTCACTTCTTGCCTTTCCTCAGCCAGGAAACAGGAACCAGAGCGCCTAACTTCCAAGGATGATAGAAGGAAATGAGGTAATGTGCGAACCCCATGAACACACTCCATGGCAGCAAGATGAACAGACACCCCTGAGAACCTGTGGGTCGGAGCGCTGTTACCTCTACAAGCAACGGATGGCCGTGGCCAAGTCACTTGGCCTTCCCGCACTAGTTTCCTATAAAAAGTGGGGATCGCTGTTGTCCTGCCTGCTCCTCGTGGGCGTGGAGGATTACGTGACAGGACGGGCCGTGTTCTGTAAACCGGGAAAGCCTGGTAATCTGGAAGCAAGGAGGGCTGAGTATGGGCATGCGCTGGGTGTCTTAACAGACCCAGGTAAAGAGACTGGGGGGTAACGGATGGGCTGGCTGTCCCGGCCCAACATTTCAAAATCATTCTGCCCACCGAAAAGCAACCCTCTCCATAATTACAGATTCTGCCAACCATCCTGTCCTGTGTTCCAAGCAGCCCCCAACATCACAAATTTGGTCTTCCCACTTCCCAGGTGTGAGCCCCACTGAGACAGAGGAGAGACCAGCCTGCCTCTGCCTAGCCCCCACCCCAGTATTATCTGGGTGAGGGCCACCTGGGGGAGTATGCCAGGCTATCCATTAGCTGCACTGTTTGTTTGTGGTTGGTGGTTCTGTGAAAATGCAACTTTTCAAGATTTACAGCCAACAATCATTCCTCAGAAGCAGGAGCAGAAAAGTTCAAAACAGGGAAAAAAAAAAAAAAAAAAACCTGAAACAAGGTAAACAGGCACCTACGTCTGCTTCAGGTTCTTTCAGAGACCAGCTTTACATTTAACTCTTTACTCCTTCAGGAACTTATTTTGATACAGAATATAGATTTTACTCCTCAGGCAGCTGCCTCGGTACAATTTCACCCCACTCATTCGAAATCAGGAGGCAAAATTCTTACAAAGGCTTGGGTCTGTTTCTGCATTTTAATTCTGTCCTACATCTTTTTTAAAAATATTTTTTGTTTACTTTTATTTTTAGAGAAAGAGAGGGGCGGGGGGCAGAAAGAGAGGGAGACACAGAATCCGAAGCAGGCTCCAGGCTCTGAGCTGTCAGAAGAGACAGAGCCCGACATGGGGCTCGAACCCACCAACAACGGGATCATGACCTGAGCTGAAGTCAGATGCTCAACCAACTGAGCCACCCAGCGCCCCAATTCTGTCCTACATCTTTAACACTTCATTGTAATCGCTGGGAGTTTCAGGGTGTATTTTACTTTTTCCTTCAATTCTTCAACGTAAGTTTTCTGGCTTATTTTCACCTAGCTATCCCTCCAGACACAGATCATTTATAAAAGTCACCCTCCTACCAAACCAAAAAAGTTCATATGGGGTGTCTGGGTAGCAACTTCAACTCAGGTCATGATCTCGCGGTTCGTGAGTTCGAGCCCCGCATCAGGCTCTCTGCTGTCAGCACAGAGCCCACTTCAGATCCTCTGTCTCCCTCTCTCCTTGCCCCTCTCCTGCTCTCTCTCTCCCTCTGAAAAATAAAACACTTAAAAAAAAAAAGTTCATATATGTACACATGCACACAAATACACAAATCTACACATATATATACACGTACAAATCTGGAGAAGAAATGACCTGTTCCTCAGAGGCACCCTCCCAGGACACGGTCTTTCTCCAATTACTCACATCTTGGTACAAGTCCAGCAGTTAACCAGGTGGGGACGGAGGGGGGGTGGGGTGCACAATGACAATAATCAGCAGGCAGGTGGGAGTAGGTGACACACTGGGAAAAACCAAAAACCCTGCCTTGCTAAAGCCAACTAAACGTTTTATTCAACAAATGTAGCACCGTCTTGTTTGTAGGATGAGGCCAGGAATAACAAAGTTCCTAACTGGCAAGTGCTTGGTGGTGCGCATGGCAGGAGCCATTGGGCCCGATGCTAGAGACCGGCTGGGTGCTTTTCCCCCCCTCCCCGTCTCTCCCTGAACCCCCAGGTGGCCTCTGAGGTAGACACAAGCACCCCAGAGACACAAATATCTGCATGGAAAGAAAGCAGGCTCGGGACAACCCTCTCCCATCCGTCCTTCTCGGTCCAGACCTACTCTTCTCCAGCTTTCAGCCCAGAACAAGGCTTCGCTTTTACAGAAAGATCTGGAAAGCCTCACCAACTTGATTTCTTTAAATTAGCATTTATCATTTAGTACCCAACACTTGCTTATTATAGCACACGGCCAAGGAAAAAGAAAATGAGCCACCATTTTTTGCGGAAGAATGTCAAGAGCACTTCCCGCTCTCATTACACAGCCAAAGAAAACACAAGTTTTTAATGAGTCTAATATTATATAGAGGTATCATCATTTAACCAATTTCATTAACAAGCATTACACTGGGGTTTGCTACCTTGGTAGTTACAAAATGGGATCCCTGGTATTCTGCCTTATTTTTTTGGATCACTATCTTTTGAAATGGTCCGTAGATCTACTTTTATGGTAAAATGTTCACCTTCTTTGCTTTCTGTATATTAGGTTTTTCCTTAATGATACAGAAGAGCTTTTTTTTTTTTTTTTAAAGATATAAGGATATTTTATAATTTAAAAAAAAAAACACACACACAACTTTTTAAAATGAAAATTTGAACCTGGGAGCATGACTTCCAATGGTTCCCTCACTGGGAGATCTCATTTCCCTACAAAAATCAGAAGTGAGTCAATGGTTCTAGGAACTGGGGGTGGGTGGTCCGTGGTCCTTTGAATGTCAGGGCTGGGATAACCATGGTTCCAGAACATGGATGGTGCAATTCTCTGACATCTGGGTGGAAGACAGATTTTTTGCTCTCCTCCAATGAAAGGAAGGCCATGTGAACAATGATTAAGGTGGCAGGACGCTGAGGAGACAACTTTTATCATTCAAAGCCTCGTTCAGCAGCAAAACTAAACAAAATAATTAACCTGAATTATGACAGCTATTGCTATCCTTTGATTATGACACAAACACGTGCTCCTAACGGAAAACTTCCAAAAGGGCAGAAAAGCACGAAGCAGCGAGTGAAAAGCAGCAACCTGTGTTAGAGGGCGACCAGGGGGTTAAGAAGTAACGGCTACTCACACAACCCAACCCCAGTGGACCCTTCCTCCCACCCCCACACCTGGCAGCAGGGGCTGTTTTACCCATCTCGAAGATGTGAGGCATACAGCAGGTGTTCAATAAATGATTATGACTTTTATTATTCAAAGACCTGCTCAAACCTGGCCATCTGGAGCCAGGCCTTTCCGGATTGCTAGGAATCGGCCTCTCCCTGTGGTTTCCAGCTTTGAGTTAGAGCTCCATTAAGGCACTCAGCAAAGCGTCTCATGTGAGTTTTCTCTAAAAACACAGAACCCAAACCGAAAGCCCCTGACATTCACGGAGGCCTACAGCTGCCAGGGCTGTGGTGGGTACAGGGGATGGAGCCCTCCCACCGGAGCAGGAGAGTAAAGAGCACTGGATTCTGGAGCCAGAGACCTCCCGGTGGGCTCGGCTCCTTGCCAGGAGCCTCAGTTTCCCCACGTGTCCCATGGAAGGGCTAGACACGACGATCTCCGAGGCCCTTCTTTCAGGCTGTTCTTCCCAGCCTGGTCCACACACCCAGAGGGCAGGGACTGGAAACAGCAGCTCCTGCTGCAGGGGGACAGTTCTCTTTCCAGAGACTTTGAATTTTAACTCCTCTCTGTTCACTACAGAACACTTAAGAGATCAAAGATTAAAAACCACCCAGAAACCTCTTTGTTATCAGAGCCTGCAGATAACAGCCGATGACATTTGAGCTCCCCCCGCCAGGCCCTCCTCACCAACATTTATCCATATATGCATACATACATGGACTAAAAAAAGCAGAATCAAATCAGGCATGCAGTTTGGTAACTCATGCATTTTTTATAAAACTAACTTAAAATTCTTTTCTAAATAGAAAACAGGCCTTGCGCTGGGTGCCGTGGCCCACTCCAGCCAGCT